TGGGCAGATAGCAACAGGGCCCTGCGGGAAGCTGAACATGCACACCTGGCCCTAGTATGACACCTCTGTAGGGGACTGCTCACTAAAAAAAGATTAAATAGGACCCAGAGTCCCATCATGTAATATCCAGAATGTCTAGGATACAGCTGAAAATCACTCATCAGAACAAGAACCAGGAAGATCACAATATGAATAAGAAAAGATAGTTGATATCAAAACCAAAAGATGAATCAGATGCTGTGATTATTTGACAAGGATTTTAAAGCAGTCTTTATGAAAGTGCTTTAACAAATAATTATAAATTCTCTTAAAACATGAAAAAATCGAAAATCTCAGCAAAGAAATAGAAATTCTAAAAAGAGAACCAAATGGAAAATATTGAAGTGAAAAATACCCTCATCAAAAGAGAAAACTATCCAGAGCTCAATAGTAGATCAGAGATGACAGGATAGAATTAGTGAACGTGAAGACAGGCTAACAGAATTACCTAGCCTGAGCAACAAGGACTTATGGGATAATAATAAAAGAGCTAACATTTGTATCACTGGATTCCCAAAATGAGAGAGTGAATGAGACTGGAAAAATAGTCAAAGGAGTGATGGTTGATAACTTGCCAAATTTGGCCAAAGACAAGCCCACAGATTCAATAAGCTGAGCCTACCCCTGTAAAGAAAAGCACACTCCTCCTGTGTGTCCTCTGCTCTCAATACTTGACTACAGTGCTACTTCACTTCTGATACCAGATGTGTGTGTTTTCCACACATCAAGCAAGTTTGCAACACCCGCTTGGTATCCTGTAGTTTAACTCAGTTCTGATACTATCAACTAGATTACTGGTTTATTATGAAAGGATGTAGCTCAGGAACATCCAAATGGAAAAGATGCACAGAGAAGGTATGTGGGAAGGGAGTGCAGAGCTTCCATGCCCTCTTCCCAGCACCTCCACATGTACACCAACCCAGAAGCTCTCTGAACCTCATCCTGTTGGGTTTTTCTGGCAGCTTCATTCCGTAGGCATGATTGACTAAATCATTGACTATTGGTAGTTGAACTCAATCTTCAGCCACTCTCTCCCCTCCTCTGAGGTTGGGGAGAGGGGCTAAAAGTTCCCGCTCTCTAACCACATGGTTGGTTCCTCTGACAACCAGCACCCCCCCACCCCCATCCTTAAATGGTTTCCAAAAGTCACCTCGTTAACATAAACTCAGGTGTGATTGAAAGGGATTTGTTATGAATATCAAAAGACACCTTTATTGTTATCATTTACGAAAGTCCAAGAGTTTTAGGATCTCTGTGCTGGAAGCAAGGGTGAAGACCAAATATATACTTCTCATTATCAGTCACAATATCACAACCCCAAACAGCATAAACCCAAAGAAATCGATGCTGACACATATCATTTTAAACTTCTGAAAACTAAATACAAAGAAAGAGACTGTGAAGTAGAGAGAGGCTGCATTACTTTTAGGGGAGCACCAATTCAAATGGTATTAGTTTCTCATTTGAAACCATGGAGGCCAGAATGAAGTGGCACAACATTTTTCAAGTACTGAAAGAAAACAATTGTCAACCATGAATTCTGTTTCTGGCAAAAAATATCCTTCAGAAATGAAGAGGAAATAAAAAAATTCTCAGACAAAAAAAAGCTAGGAGAATCTATTGCCAGCCAAATTATTCTGAAAGGATAGCTAAAGTTCTCTTTTAAAAAAAGGAAATGATAACATAAGGCTTGGAATTTCAGAATGGAAAGAAGAACATCAAAATGAGTAAAAATAGGAGCAAATATAAACTATCCCCCTCATGAGTTTCTTAAATCATAAATTATAATACCAACTAATGTAGTGATCAATGTCATGTGGAAAAAATACTTAAGATAATTATACTTAGAATGGGGAGAGGATAAAGGAGCCTAAGTGGAATTAAGGTTTCTACACCTCACTCAAGGTAGTAAAATGTTGATACGGGTAGACTGTGTAACTTATGTATATTGTTGTACCTAGACCAACCCCTAAGAAGACTATACAAAGTGATATATTTTAAAAACTTTATAAATAAATCAAGGTGGAATCCAAAATATAAATGTGTATTTAAACTATAAGAAAAAGAAAAACAGTAATGAGAAAGAGAGGAAACAAACAGAAAACAAAATATAAAATGGCAACTTAACCCATAAAATATTAATAATTACCCTTAAATGTAAATGTCCTAAATATACCAATTAAAAGGCAGAGATTGGTGGGATGGATTTTTTTTTTTAATGATGTAACAATTAGATGTCTACAACAAACTCATTTCAAAGACTGTAACATAGGTAGGTTTAAAGCAAAAGGATGAAAAAAAGATATGCCATGCAAATACTAATTTAGAAAAGCAAGAGTGTCTATATTATTATCAGATAAAGTAGACTTCAGGACAAAGAAAATTACTAGGGACAAAAAGGGTCATTACATAATATTAAAAGGATCATTGCGCCTAGAAGACATAATGATCTCAAATGTAAATGCACCCAACGACAGAGTCTCAAATTACATGAAGCAAAAACTGTGATAGGGCTGAAAGGAGAAATAGATCCACAATTATATTTGGGTACTTAAATACCTCTCTCAGAAAATCAGAATTGATACAGAAGATCTGAAGAACACAATCAACCAGTAGACCCTAATTGAGATATACATATAGAACACTCCACCCAACAATAGCAGAATACATTTTTTTTTTGGCATGATGGGGTATTCACCAGGATGAACCATATCTTGAGTCATAAAAAACACCTCAACAAGTGTAAAAGAAATGACATCATGCAGAGTATGTTTTTTAACCACATAGAAATAAACTAGAAATCCATAGTAGAACAGCAACAGGAAAATCTCTAGGCCTTTGGAATATAAACAGCACACTTCTAAATAGTCCCTTGGTCAAAGAGAAAGTCAAAGGAAATTAAAATAAATACTTAGAACTAAATGAAAATGAAAACATAGCAAAATATGTGAGATGTAGCTAAAGCAGTGTTGAGAGGGAAATTTATAGCTCTAAATGTGTAAATTAAAAAGAGGAAAGGTCTCAAATCAGTTATCTAAGTACTTACCTCAAAAATCTATAAAAAGAGAAAAAAACCCAATGTAAGTAGAAAGAAATAATAAAGAATAGAAATCAATACAATTAAAAATAGGAAAAAATAAAGAAAAACACAAAAACTTGTTCTTTGAAAAAAATCAATAAAATTGATAAAGCTTTAGCAAGACTGACAGATAAACAGAAAAGGCACAAATCACATTAAGAATGAAACGGGACATCACTACAGATACTGCAGCTTAAAAGGGTTATAAGGGAATACTACAAGAAGTTTATACATCAAGAAGCTTATCAAGAAGTTGATAAATTCAGCAACTTAGTAGAAATAGGCCAATTCCTCAAAGACTACAAACTACCAAAATTCAACCCAATTGAAATAGACCGTCTGACTAGTCCTATAACCATTAAAAATAGTGAATTCAGAATGTGGAAGCTCCCTAAAAGGAAATCTCCAGGCCCAGGTGGTTTCACTGGAGAATTCTAGACAATATTTAAAGAAGAATCTATACCAGTTTTACACAATCTTTTCCAGAAAATAGAAGTGGAGGGAACACTTCCTGACTTATTTTATGAAGCTGGTATTATCCTGATACCAAAGCCAGACAAAGAGTATATAAAAAAAGAAAACTATAGGCCAGTATCCCTCATGAACTCAGATGCAAACGTACTCAACAAAATATTAGCAGACTGAATCTAGCAATCTGTTTAAAAAAATTGTAAGCCATGACCTAGTATTATTTATTCCAAGTGTGCAAGGCTGGCTCAACATTCAGAAATCAATGCACCATATACAAAAATTAATATAAAATGAATCAAACACATAAATGTAAGAGCTAAAACTAACTGTCCTAGGAGAACACATAGGAGTAAATCTTCGTGACCTTGGATTAGGCAAAGGATGAGTGATCACAGAAAAAACCATTAATTTGACTTCATCAAAATTAAAAACCTGTGCTTCAAAGAACACCATCAGGGGCTTCCCTGTTGGTCAAGTGGTAAAGAATCTGCCTTCCAATGCAGGGGATGCGGGTTGCATCCCTGGTCGGGGAACTAAGATCCCACATGCTGCGGGGCAACTAAGCCCGCGTGCCACAGCTACTGAGCTCGCGCACCTCAACGAGAGAGCCTGTGTGCCGCAAACTACGGAACCCATGCGCCCTGGAGCCCTCGCACCGCAACAAAGACCCAACACAGCCAGAAAAATAAAGAAAAAGAACAAAAACAAAAATACAAACTGATTTTCAAAGAACACCATCAAAAATTGAAAAAAAGAAAAACCCCACAGAATGGGAAAAATATTTGCAAATTGTATCTAATAAGGGACTTGTATCCAGAATACATAAAGAACTGTCACAACTTAATTTTTAAATGAGCAAAGAATTTAAGTTATACGAATAGCCAATAAGCACATGAAAAAATGCTCAATATCATAGGTCATTATGAAAATGCAAACTAGGATAGCTATAATCAAAAATACAGATAACAGGTGTTAATGAGGATGCAGAGAAATTGAAAACCCTCATATACTGCAGGTGTGAGTGTAAAATGGTGCAGCCACTTTGGAAAACAGTTTGGCAATTCCTCAAACTTGAATGTGAATGTTCATAATGGCATTTACATAATAGCCCCCAAAATGGAAACAACCTAAATGTCCATCTACTGTGAATGTGTGGTGTATTCATTCATTGGAATATTCTTTGGCCGTGAAAAGGAATGAAGTACAGGTACATGCTACGACATGGATGAGCCTTGAAAACATAATGCCAAATGAAAGAAACCAGGCATAAAAGGCCACGTAGTGTATGATAGATAAGAAAGTCAATTAGTGGTTGCTAGGGGCTACAGGGAAGGGGAAATAGGGAGGGACTGCTAATGGGTATGGAGTTTCTGTTTTGGGTGATGAAAATATGATAAAATTAGGTAATGGAAATGATTATATTATACAACTCTTTGCATATACTAAAAACCTCTGAACTGTACATTTTATTTATTTATTTTCAATTATCAGTAATCATGCCTTGGATAAGCCTCATTGGCTATGATACTGCAACTGTGCAAAGCTTGAATTGTACATTTTAAAAGGGAGAATTTTATGGTGTTTGAATTATATCTCAATAAAACTGTTATTAAAAATCAATGCATGTAATCTATCATATTAACAGAATAAAAAAATTTTTAAATTGTATGATCCCATCAGTTATTACGGAAAAGGCATTTGGAAAAAAATCCAACACACATTCATACTAAAAACTCTCAGCAAACTAGACAAGGAGAGGAACATCATCAGCTTGATAAACATCATGTACAAAAAACCTACAAGGAATAGGCACATAGATTAATGAGACAGAATAGAAAGCTCAGAATTAGTTCCACACAAATATGCCCAATTAATTTTTGACAGAGGATCAAAAACAATTCAATGGAGGAAGGATAGCCTTTCAGGAGATGGTGTTGGAGGAATTGGGTGTACATAGACAAATGAACCTTGACCTAAAATAAACCTCATGCCTAATGCAAACGTTAACTCAAAATGGGTCATGGACTTAAATATAAACTGTAGAACTGTAAAACTTACAGATCAGAGCATAGAATACTTGCATGATGCAAGGTTAGTAAAGAGTTCTTAGACTTGGCACAAAAAAGCACAGTCCATATCAGGAAAGATAAATCGGTTCTCATTAAAATTAAAAGCTTTTTCTGTGGAAGACCCTGTTAAGAGTCTTTAAGATGAAAAGACAAGCTAGACTGGGAGAAGATATTGCAAACATATCCAACAAAGGATTAATATCTACAGTACATAGAGAACCCTTAAAACTCAACAATATAAAAACAATCCAATTAGAAAATGGGCAGAAGACATGCTACAGATGGTAAATGCACAAGCAGAAAGATGTTTAATGTCGTGAGCCACTAGAAAATGTGAATTAAGCCCACAGTGAAATACCAGTACATACCTATCAGCATGGCTAAAATAAAAGGAAAGACCAAAGTTGGTGAAAAGTTCCATGTGATACCAAACGCTGGTGAGCATGCGGAGAAAGTGACTCATGCACACTGTGCTAGTGGAAATGGAAAATGGCGCAGCCACTCTGGAAACACTTCCGCAGTTTCTTAAAAGGCTAAATGCAGCCATCATACAGCCTGCTAATTGCACTCCTGGGCATTTAGCCCAGAAAAATGAAAACTTATGGTTCACACGAAAACTTGTACGCAGATTTTCATAGCAACTTTATTCATAACATCCCCAAACTGGGAACAACCCAGATTTCCTTCCACGTGTGAATGGTTAAACAGGCTGTGGTACATCCACATCATGGAATGATACTCAGCAGCAAAAAGGAATGGACTGTTGATATACACAACAGCACGAATCTTCAGGAAATACGCCGAGTGAAAAAAGCCGGTCTGAGAGGTTTACATCTGTATGATTCTGTTGATATCACTTTTTAGGAAAGACGTATTTTGGAAACGGAGAATAGGTTTGTAGTTACCAGGGGTTGAGGGAGGTAGGGCAGGTGGGAGTTGGGTATGATCATTATTAAAAGACAGTTTGAAGGATCCTTGAGATGATGATAGCTCTCTGTTTTGATTGAGGTCGTGCTTACGTGAACCTACACGTGTGATAAAATTGTTGAGAACTTCATGAGTACAAGATCAGTGCATTGTATCAATGTCAACATCCTGGTTTGGGTGTTGTACTATAATTTTGTAAGATTTTACTATTGGAAATTAGGTAAAAGGTAGATAGCATCTCTCTATTTTCTCTTACCATTGTGTATTAATCAGCAATTATCTCTAAATACAAGTTTAAATTTTTTTTTAGTAAGAGCCACCAGGTGAACACAGAGGAGAAAATCATTAATTTTGCATGAGGAAACTTTGAAGCCAGGTAATCTTTGAATTTGGTCATGAGGGATGAATAGGATTTCCAAAGGCTTTTGTCTTATTATTATTTTAAAAAGAAGAAGAAGGGGGGGAAAAAGCAATTAACACTGTTCCTGACATCCTCTAAGAAGACCTCTCAGTAGGGGATATGTCTGTATGGCCCTTGAACTTGTGTCAGTATCCTTAGGCTGCGGTGAAATTCAGAAAAATCTGAGATTGTGAGTTAGAGAGCAAGAACAGAATGTTTGGATGAGGGAAGATGAGTAAAATTTGGACATTAAGTGCCTAGAATAACCAAAAGGAGATGTCCAGGAGGCAGAAAGCAAAACGAGCCTGGCACTCAGGAAAGAAGTCTGGGCTGCAGATACCTATTTAGGTGCATGAAGTAGTAGTTAAAGCCACAGAGTGAATGAATATACCTAGTAAGCCTACAGTCGGAAAAGGAAAGAGAACCAGTGATGGACTGTGAAGAGCTCCAACGTTTAAAGAGTGGAAGCTTCTTAGGAGAAGGTGGGGAGTGGGCTGCAGAAAAGAAATTAGAAGAGTTAAAGAAAAAGAAAAGGCACAGTTGGTGACAAGTTCCAATCAAGGGTAAGCTGCCCTGTGCTCTGGAACAGAAGTCACTGTATTTGGTCATCAAGTTCTTTTCTTTGTCTTTTGAATATCTCATGAGTTGTTTCGTTGGCGTGATGAGAGCCAAAGCAGGCTGTAGTCAGTTGAGGGGTGAAGGGACGTGAAAACGTAGGGGCGCTAAGTAGAAACATCCCTTTCAAGGAGCTTTGCTGCACCAGAGGTGGTGAGAGGAGCTTGACAGAAGCAGGGTCCTCAAGATGTTTTTGAGAATGAGGAGGATCTGAGCTTGCTGGCAGGCAGTGGGTAAGGCGCCGCACACATTTCTGGACTCCTCTTCGGAAATTGCCTTCAGAGCCTAAGGCACATTTTCAACAATGGCCAATCTTCATCTTTTGAGAATGCGTTTGAGTTTTGGAAACAACCAAGTCAATTTAGAGCCAAGAGTGGTAAATCAGGTGGGTGATCAAGCTGGATAATACAACTTCAAAAAAAAATAAAGTATAATTATAAAGTAGTAAAACTGATTTTCTTGTGAAGCTCATGAATTGGCTTAGAAAGTAGTTCTTAAAGAATTCCAAAACCCTTTTGAGCAGTTGCGGCATCATGTGAATAAGTGTACAGAGTCCCTCTGTAACTTTCAGAGGAAGAGGCTGGCGTGCATGGAAGTCCTGTTATATGTGTGAAAAAATTGGTTTTGTTACATATATTTACTCATACTGTGCAAATGTAAGGTTTCCCTATAATCTTTTTGCCTGAGAGGTGACCTAGTGGAATTATACCAAAGTTTGTATGTGGGAGAATCAAGAGTTTCAAATTGTGATTGTTTAAACAGTTCTCCTGTGGTCTTACAGATGTAATTAGAATTCCTAGGATAGGAGTGTTCCCACAAGCATAATAATACTTTAAATGTGTGTTCAATTATCCTTTTCTATAGCCATATTTAATCGTTTCTTTTTGAAATAGAGTTACTTTGAAAATATTAAATCACTAGCATAATCTTGACTGTTGGTCAGACCTGGGACAGTGCTGGGCATGTAGTAAGTACTCACTGGGTGTCCCTTTCCTGTCGTCTCTGCCTTGGGACTTGATACATGCTGAGGACACACAAAGAGAAAGATCAGTTCCCTAGTACTAGATCATCTCCATTAATGTTCAGCCAAAAATATACAGGATGAAGAAAATGAACACATGTAGAAGTTTGAAGTTTGCATGTAGCTTTGTTGTTAATGTGGCAGATATACATACACCAAAACACATATTTAATTGAGTGCACCTTTTATACCTCTTTATATGTTTAATTATTTTATACTTAAGTATTACCTTATTTAATCATTCAAACAATCCTGTGAAACAGTTATCCCTGTTTTACAGATGAAGAAACTGTGGCTCAGATGAGTGTAGTCACTTGCCCAAGGTCACATGGCTGAGAGGGGCAAAGCTTGGACTTGAATTCAGTTCTGCAGTCTAGGAATCTCTTAACCACCATCTCCATGTTTCTCCACCTTAAACCCACACCCTTGATAAACATTTAAAAAAAAATCAATCAAAAAAACACCAAATCAATCAAAAACACCACATACTTCCCCTCCCCATATTGAGAAAGGAGAAGTTAGAGCCTCTTCAAAACCGTACTGGTCAAAAAATGTTATAGCATTGTACTTTGTGTAATTTGAGTTACAGAAGCAATCTTTCTAAAAATTAATTTGTTTTTGAAATAGAAACTTGAGGGACTTCCCTGGTGGTCCAGCGGTTAAGACTCTGCACTTCCACTGCAGGGGGCGTGGGTTCGATCCCTGGATGGGGAACTAAGATCCCGCATGCTGCACAGTGTGCCCCCCACCCCCCCCAAAAAAAATAGAAACTTGTTGTTGATACTCTGCCATGCCCTCCCTCTGCTTTCCAGCACCTGGTGCCCCCAGGAGTGGGCAGGGTGGAAGCATCGGCTGTAACATCCTGTCATGGCTTGCTAATGAGAAAGCGTTAGAGAAAGCCACGACGAGTTAGCCATTCTAGGAAACTTCCCGCAGCTGTTGCATTAATTAAGACTTTTGGTCCCGAATAACAGAAACCACTGGAGCTCACTTAAGCAGAAAGGGGAATTTGTTTTAAGGATCCTGCGATGACTCCCAGAATCCAAGGGCAGCGAACCCAGAAAGGCTTCTTCATCTCTGCCTCTCACGCTCTCTACACGTCGGCTTCCCTCATTCATACTGGCCTCTTTGGCTTCCTGCTCCTCAGTGGGATGGCTGCAACCTAAGAGCTGCCACAGTCACCCAGAGGGAGCCTGATATCTCTCTCCATCTTCTCCCCTCACATACTTTCCTGCTTCTCACACTCTCCCTTCTCTGTCCTAATTCCGAATTCTAGAGCGAGAATCAAGTTTGCCCTGCTTTGGGTTACATGTTCGTTTGGGAGAAGGAACGTCAAGACAGATAACAATCCACTACAGTTCTGTTCCCTCCGACCTTTATACATGATGCTACTGGTTACTTTTCTATCCCAGGAGTTTGAAAATTTTAAATGACCCTGATATCACAGGGGTGAAATACTAAGGTGTAGGTTTTAGAGACAAATTTGGCTTGAATCATCACTCTGCCACTTACT